AGGTCAGCTCCTCTCTGTTCCTGAGCTCTCCAAACTACCATCTCTACCCAAAGCCCCATATTCCTGGGGTAAAACCACATTGGGCCCTGAGAAGACGCAAATGATCAACGAGCGTGACAGAGACGCAGCCAGATGGCTCACACCCAGAAGACGCAGAGGAGACAAACTTCCATAGCGCCCTGCAGCACCTCTGAGGACTGTCTCCCCATCCAGGGTTCACCCAGAGCCTTTCACACGCAGCCTCTGCTCAGCTGCACCCCTCCAGTGCTTTCTCTGTCACTGTCCCCAGAACTCCTCCGCCCTGCTTTCTTGACAGTGGGGTTTTCAGAAAGCCTTCCTCCCGCCTAAAATGAAGACATTTCTTGTCTCCCAGTTCTGGCCAGGGGGGACAGGCGAGAATGGTACATGCCCATCTTTCCAGGGTCCCAGGTCTGCGGCTGGGGTGAACCATGAGATGGAAAAAGGAGGCTCGGTCCTTGATGGCGTGAACTGCCTCGTTTCCAGAGCTTCTGTGTAAGTGGGGGCTTCTCTCTGTCACACTCGCCTCAGCTGCCAACACACTGCCGCCTTCTGCTTGCACCTCGAATCTGAATCTGCATTTCTAATCTTTTTTTTTTGTTTGGTACCAGGGATCGAACTAATGGCCACGAGCTTGCAAGGCAGGCGCATATGCCGCTGAGCTAGATCCCCGGCCCCTCACGTTTCTAATCTCAACATTTCTCTTGAATGTCAGACCCCCATTTCCAAGCATTTGGGGGGGTTTCACTTAGATGGTCTGGTACCCAAAACACCTTAAACATTGTATGCTTAATGTCTTCCCTCAAACACACCCCTTCCTCAGTTCCAGACTTCTGCTAGTTGCACGGCAGTTTCTCAAGAAGCTGGGCCCAACACCTCCCTGCGCAGTCCCTAACACCCTCCTCCCCTCCTCCACCTGTCCAGTCCCCCAAGGCCACTTCCTCAGTCTCTCCACCCCTCCCATCTCCACCTTTCTTCCTGTGACTTCCTAACCCCTAACTGCCTTCCAGGGACTCCCTGAGGTCTCTGGACTTCGGGGTGCCGCTGCCTCTGGTCTCTCCCAATCCATAACTACACCTGAAAGTGTGGCTCTCACTCCGGCACCCCAACCAAAGAGCTTCAACGACACAGCACAGACCTTGGAGTAGAGAGACTCAAGGCCGCTGCTGTGACAAACACCCTAGCCTACAGGTCAGGTGTGTCGCTAACCACCCTCCTAACCCTGACACCGCCCCTGCCAGGCTGCTCCCCACTTCCTCCTGACTTCCGCCCATCAAGGTTAAGTCTCCTTAGGGCTCAGCTCAAATGCTATCACATCACACTGTCTCTGGTCTTTTCTGTTGACGTAACTTACCCTCTTTTGAACACCAAAATTACTTCTGTGTGAACTCAACAGAGCCTGCCGCTTTGGATTATTTTCCCTAGCTCTTGTGTGTATCAGATTATACACACTTTTGGAAGTAAATATAGCTCTACAGTTCATCAGGCTTTGGCTTTTTCCATAATGCGGTGAGAAAGTGAATTATATCCCACTGAGATAAGCTGGCACAGGAGGGAGGAAGGCGGGGAAGAGGCAGCTGACTGCAAGGCTTCACTGGGAACTGTCTCCGGACGGAAGTCCTTCTGCCTGTGAGAAAAGCGCCAAGCTTCCCCTCAGCACGTGCCGCAGAAAGCTGGCCTGGACGCTCAGAGCCGTGGAGGGGGGACACAGAGAACCTTCTCTTGTTTGTGAGACCTCACGGAACTGACCAGCACAGGGAAGCACATCTGAGCGCACCAGCAAAGCCAGGATTTCCGCCACAGGACTCCCCAGACGCTCAGCTAGGGGCAGCGTCATGGATGGGGGAGTACAGGGAGAAGGCAAAAGGACCGGTCCCTCCCTGTGAGAAGGTAACAGCCTCACACTCACACCCAAAGCACGCAGCAGGAGCCACATGACAGCTCTTGGGAACACCGAGCTCGCTGCATCTAAAGACCTCAGCGTGTAAGTGTACCCCGCCAGGGTGCGTGTGTGCTCGTGTAGAGCCACTTGACCAACACCAAGCACTGTGCGTGGACGCCACGGGGACAGCAAGACTCTCAGACCTCTGGCTACTTGCCCATCTGCTGTCAAAGCTGGAAAGCTGTCTATTGTCCGAGCAGCAATCTGTCCAGCACATCCAGTGAGCACTCAGATACTACAAGAAACGAACGACCAGCTGCACAGCACTGGGAACACTGCCCGTACTACACCGGCCCTGTCCGACTTTTCTGTAAGTGAAGCAGCGAGACTATCAGAAAACCATCTGGAAGCAGGGCACGGTGGCACATGCCTCTAATCCCGTAACCGAAGGCTGAAACAGGGAGAATGAAAGTCTGAGGACAGCCAGACAACTCAGTGAAACCCTGTCTGAGACTTTTAAAAGGGCTGGGACATAAAGAAGGATAAGGTGGAGACTTTCATAGGTAAATGGATGCAACTTCACTACTCACGAGTACTTGGCTACTCATTAGTGAAATAAACAAGGCACACATGCGTAAACATCCTAGTGTCTCATCAATGTGAGAAGCTGAAAGAAACATACGTTTACGTGCATGCGTGTGTGTACGTACACATATACGCAAATAGTTAAGGTATTTTTAAAAGGGCTGGGAGCTGGGCACGATGGTGTGCACATCTGTAACTCAAGCTACTCAGGCAAGTTAGTGACACCAGTGAGACCAGGATGTGCACTAAGATTGCCAATTCTACTCTCCTCATTTTTTTCTAAAGAAAAACTCTTGCTGAATGCAGAGATCCATACCTGCAACCCTGGCTCGGGAGGCTGAGGCAGGAGGATCCCAAGTTCAAGGCCAGCTGAAGCAATTTACCAAGACCGTGTCTCAAAAACAAATGTTTCAGGTAGGAGGGCTGGGGACGTAGCTCAGTGGTAGAGGATCTACCCAGCACACGCAAGGCCTTCTCAAGGACATGTGTGCATGTGTACAGATGTGCATGCAAAAAAAAAAAATGTATGTACAGCCAGATATGGTGAGGCACAACTGTAACCCCAGCACTGTGGGAGGCTGAAGCAGGAGGACTGCTGAGTTTGAGGACAGCCTGAGGTTCAAAATGAGTTCAAGGTCAGCCTGGACTGCATAGTAAGTCACTGTCTCAAAAACACCAAAGGAATATATGTACAGAATGTTCCCAGCAACATAACTTTTAACTGAGAGCCAGTGGAGACTGATTCAACGTTCATCACTCAGGAATGGAAAGGCGACTTAGAGGGATTCAGCAGCATTAGAAAGCGCAGTACTGTGGTTTGTACCTGGGCATTCCTGCAAAGCCTCGAACACTCGGGGGCAGCCTTTGGAGGTGACTGGGACATGGGGCTGACAGCTGGCCTGCCGACAGGGGGGCCCCCAGGGCCTGGCCTGGAAGGTTCCTCTCTCTCCGAGGCTCTTCCCAGATGCCATGAGGTGAGCCACTGACCCTCCTGCCAGGTCCACCAACTGTGCCAACCACGAACTGAAACTTGCACAAACTGTGAGCCAAAGTAAATCTTTTCTCCTTTGAGTGTGTCACCTATTTTGTCACAGTGATGAGGTAAATGTTTACGACAATAAGGCAGGGTTTTTTGTTTGTTGTTTTGAGGGTCTTTTTGAGACAGGGTTTCACTACACAGTTCAGGCTGGCCTCGACTCAGTGTGGATCCTCCTGCCTCAGCCTCTCGAGTGCTGGGATTACAGGCGGGCATCAACATGCCTGGCCTTTCTTTTTCTTTCTTTCTTTTCCTTTTTTGGTACAGGGAGTAGACTCAGGGCGCTCACACTGAGCTATATCCCTACTTCTTTTAATTTTGAGACATAGCCTTGTTAAATTGCTAATGTGCCCAAGCTGGGCTCAAACTTGCTATCCTGCCTCAGCCTTCAGGAGCACTGAGACAGATTACTTGTGTACAGCACCACACCTGGCCACACTGTAGTTTCTTGAGAATACGGAGGGACAGGACGCTCTGATCATCTCAGAAACAGTGCCTTTGGAAAGCTGGTCCATTAATTCATCACAGCAGTGCAGGATAATGCCATTAATGGGAAGGCAAAAAGGATTTCGCTTGCCCAAGGCGCAGAGTGGTCTGCTGACTGCCTCCTTGGTCCCGGCGGGCAGGCTGGCTGCTCTGGTTAAGCAGACAGCACAGGCAGGCTTCTGAGAAGCTGGTGGCCGCTTTCACTTTAATGTTCCAGCCCCTTCCTCTAAAGCATCTCTGAGTGATCCAGCTTGCCTGGAGGCAGGTGTGCCTTACACACATCTCTTCCATTAACCCCACCCCGCCCACCCCCAGGCACAGTTAGCTCAGCACTGTGGAGCTGGGGGAAGCTGAAATGGAGGAGCAGCCGCTGTGGGCCCTGTCCTCCATCACAGCTCCCTCCTGGGCCCCAGGAAGTCCTCCCCTGACTGGGTCTGACCCTCCCCTCTTCTTCCTCCCAAAAGCTGAGCAGCGAGCACAGTGGTTCCAGAGGAAGCCTTCGGAGCATCAGAATCTCCTTCCTCCCTGATGCCGAAGGTTCCTCCCTCACAAAGGACCATTTCCACACGGCCCGCTACACTGAATCCAGGGCTCGGGCTGTAAGGTCAAGTCCAACAGGGTTTCCTTCAAGCATCTAGCAAGGGCATCGGTGGTCTTTTCCACCCTAGGGGTCAGAGTTAAACATCTATGTTTATCAGTGCAGTGGAAGAGGAGAGCACACAGTTGTTTCCACTGATGCCCACATGCAAAATCCAACCCGAAATGCACTGCAGACTGAAGTACGGGACCTACAGGTAGGAAACTTGTAGAAGATGACACAGGAAAAATATTTGTCTTTTTTTCGGTCTTTTTCCTTTTTATCAGTACCGGGGATCGAACTCACGACTGCCTGCTTGCAAGGCAGGCGCTTACGCCGCTGAGCTAAATCCCCAGCCCCCTGTAATTTTAATCATTTAAAAAGATAAACAAAATTAAGACTCTCTGCTCAAAAAACCAGTGCACATCTATAATCCCAGCACTGTGGGAGGATGTCAGAAGGATCACAAGTTTGAGCCCACTCTAGGGACCTAAGGTGACTTAGCAAGACCTTGGGTTCAATCCTCAGCAAAAAAAGAGAAAAAGGCACTGTAAACACAAAGTCACAGACTGGGAATAAAAACCATCTGATGAACTTTTTTTTGGTCTTTTTTGAGACTGAGTCTTGCTATGTAGTTCAGGCTGGCTTTGAGCCCAGGCTGGTCTTAAACTCTCATTGATTCTCCTGCCTCAGCCTCCTGAGTGCTGGGATTACAGGCGTGCACCACTGTACCCAGCTCTGATAAAGAACTTCTATTCAAAATACATAAAGAACTCACAACTCAACAGGAAAAGAAGCCTTTTTTGAAAACAAGCAAAAGATCTAAACATAGTTCATTAACAGCAAATAAACACAAAAGCAGTTGCTCAATTAGACAAATGCAAATCACACCAGGAAGAAGGCATCACGATGCACCGACTGGAATGGCTGAAGTTTTTGGAGAAATGACAGCATGAGAAGTGTCAGGGAGGCTGCATATCAACCGGACTCTCGCACACTACTGAGGTCAATGCAGAACAGCCCGACCGCTCCAGCAAAGGACTCAGCAGCCCTTCTCTACAGGTAAAGGTATCTCCTAGGTCCCCACTCCTGTGTACCAGGGAAACAAAAGCTTACATCCCCACAAACATCTTTTCACAAATGTTACAGCAGTTTTATTTGTAACTATCTTAACCCTAAGTGACCCGAATGTCCCTCAGCCAGGAGCGGATAAGCCTGTTTACATAACCGAGGACAGTTACATAACAGAGCAGAACTGAGCAATGAAAAGGGACATCTCGCTGGTCTGTGTGACAACGCTGAGTGACCCTCAAGCGTCCCACGCTAGGTGAGAGGGTATACGCGAAGTGGTTCCATTTGCATAACTTGGGGGAAAGGCAGGATCACTGGGGAGGTCAGAGCTGGAACTTCCGGGAGTAAGTGAGGGGACAGGGCTGGGGCGGCTTCCCGGTGGGACCAAACTGCTCTGTATTTTGACTGTGGTGGCAGTTACACAGCTCTGTTCGCCAAAACTTAGAGAACAGAAATATGAATGACTTATTTCTTAAGGCTAAAAAGAAGGAAACCATAAAGCACAAAGCAAATGGAAACCACTATGAAAATGCCACGTCTGTCCCCGCCAGGAGCGATGACCTTTTCCAGACCACTACAACCGGGTCTCACCACCTGCACCTCTCGTCTGCCAGCAGGACCCTCTGCCAGCCCTGATGGAGGACATGTCAAAGGACACCGTCTCGCTCACTCTCACCGGAGCCCCGGATGGGCTTCGGACATCAAGGAGCTCCGGTACTGCCCTGCAAAGGGCCTAGTGCCTGTGGGTGAAGGGTGACAGGCCGGGGAAAGCTGCAGGATCCTTCCCAGCTGCAGTGTGAAACTCACCCGCCCCCAGCCCCGCCCAGTCTGACCTAGTGATCACGAGGTTGACAGCCTGTGCCATCTGCCTGACCCTAACTGATGACACTGCCTCGGGGACTCAGGACAAGACTTTGTCCATCCCTGTGAGGGGCTGGTCCCTCCTCCACAGCTCCCACAGACCCACCTCCATGCAGTGTGTGGGGTGTGGGCCAGCCACCTCCTCCCGGGCGCAGAGCAGAGTGTGGGGAGTGAGAGCAGGACACAGCGGCTGTGCAGGCTGTGGAGCCTGGTGAAGGACAGGGCGGTTGGTGCCATTTGTACCTTTTGTTTTTCCGTCCGCTGACACCAGCTTCTTTGTCTCCGCTGTTAGGAGCAGCTCGTAAGGGTGCTCCTCCTCCTCCTTGGCTGCACTCCCCTGAGCCCTGGGTCGCACAGCCAGGACCTGAGAGAGAAGAACACTCAGCACTGCTGTGCCAGAGGCTGTCACCTGGACAGGAGCGACTGCACAGGTGCTGTGGCCACTGGCAAGGGAGAGGAGGCACTGAGTGAGTGCCACGCGGAATCACAGCTGCTTTCCCGGGCCCACACCTGCTGGGATCTGCCCTCCGGAGGCTGTGCTGGGCACTGGGCCCCCACTGGCCGGGACTGCAGGTAGCAAACGGTGAGAGGCAGGATGTGGTACAAGGGGGTCAGGCCAGGCTGGTCCATGCCTGATCAAGCCACCCGGGAATAGATTTGTGCTGTGCCCCGGAGGTCCAGCTCGCTGGACACTGGACTAGGTCCAGAGCGGGATGTTACAAAGTGCGGTAGGGCCTCTGCTCTTGCTGTGTAATATATGTGCCATGCTGTGAGGGGGCCAGGAGCTCTATTAGCAGCTGAATGGACGGGGCTTGGGCTTTCTGCCTTCAAAACTGTGAGCTGAATAAACCTCTTGTCTTTGTAAAGTACCCAGACTCAGGCAGTCTGTTGTAATGATAAAAACAGACCAAGACAACACCTGGACCACAAATCTCCAGGGCCTCTGACTGGAATATTCTCCTTGCTCGTTTTATCCTTCAGAACACTTTCTGAAGTAAAAGGCGAGCTTTATCCTGCCCTTGCACTCCTCCCTCATGGTGCTCTGCTCCGCTGGTGCACTGTGCACAGCACTTGCCATGCAGCTTTCAGCAGCCCTGCAGCCTGCTGAATTCCCCTTCTCCTCACACACACATTCTCCCCACCATCACGAGAGGAAACCAAGATGACTTCTGACTAATCCTGAACACTTGACATTCACTGGAAACAAGTGGCTCACAGTCTGAGCACCTTGTCCTGGGCTGCAAAAAGAATTTCACTGCAGGTGGCTTCCTGCCACACACACGCGCGCGCGCGCGCACACACACACACAGGGAGTGCTACACAACTCCCCCACCTCTGCTCTGAAGAGCCAAGTAGCTGGAAGCCTGGATTTCTGGAGGGGAGGGGCGATGTCTCTCTAAGTGTCCACTGGGAAACAGTTGGACAGTGATGCTCCTGCCCCTGCCAGCTGTGAGGCCTGCTAGCCACAGGGGCCAAGCTTCCCCTTGAACCCAGCCAGATAACCACAAGGTGCTGCAGCCAGACAACCACAAGGTGCTGCACCCACACGGGGAGGATGACCCCGTGATCTGTCCTAAGAGGCCACTGTGCCACGCAGGCAAGTCTTCACTTAGAGCAGCAGCCGGCACAAAGCCCGTCTGAGCAGTGGGTGAAGGGTCCCCAGGGGGACCTAACGATGAAGACGCCCTAGCACAGTGCAATCCCCAGCACACAGTCCTCCTCTGCCATGTCCCGCACACTGGAAATGCCTCCAGTTTCTATTTACGTAGGTTCTGCTTCTCCGTGGCCCAGCTCACTGCTTCAGGACCTAATGAGATGAGGGGGCTCTGCGGGCTACAGACTCGGCGAGTCCCTGGCTCCCGTCCTAACAAGCCTGCTACTCCACAAGCAGAGTGACGTCTCCTTCCTGACCTACCAGAGCAGCAGAGCCTCCGCTTACCGGAAGCACCTGGAGGCTAAAAGCCACTTCATGGGGTGGCTCAGCCATCTGCCTGTGCAGCTCATTCTTTGCCTCTTCACGGGAACACAGCCCAGGAAACAAAGGCGGCCCATTCATCAGCTCACACTGTGCCAACTTAATACCCAGGCTCCAGGGGCAGGAATTTGGGTTCTGTAGGTTTCCATGCCCGCCCCATCACCTGGACAGAGCAGGAAAACTGACTCCCTGAGGTCCCTGCACGGCAAAAGCTCACACAGAGACCCAGGCAGGCCTGGCCCATGAGGCCCCCACCCAAAAGGCATGGGACCAGATCTGGGGCCTCCAGTGGAAATGAAGCCCACCGGACCTGCATTTACTTCATGCCTGGTTTCTGTGCAGGACACTTGCAACCGGGAAAACCATCCACTGTCAAAGCTGGGAGGGACCTGAGTGACAGTCACAGTGAAGCGGTCACAGCAGGTGCACTTGGTCCCAGACCTTTCATTTGCAGGTGACAGATCTAGTCCCAAAGGCCCAGGTACTTAAGAGGGTTGAGATGAGCGCTCACAGCACGGCCTAGCCGTAAAATTCAGTTTTCCTGGTTTGACCAGATTGACCTTGATTTTTCTGGCTTTCATTTTATTCTCCACCCGATTTGAAATGCACTCCTCTTTCAGGTGTCTAATGAGAATCCCTGCTCACTCACAGACAAATACGGAGGGTGTTCCTGTCTTCCTGGTATTGGCCCCTACAGGCTCTGGAATTACAATCTCACAGCGAAGCAATCAGCCGCTCTCTGCCAAGACATCCAGCTCCCTCTCGAGAAGCCCTGTGTCACAGTGAATATAGCAATAACCAGTTCTCAACAGGAAGGATTCTGCTCTTCACGAAATTATTTCTTAATCTTTTTTTTCCCCTCTCCTCTAGGGCTGGCAATAAATCAAAGCTGAAAAAAATTTGTTCTGCTATGTGGAAAGTAGCAGAGAATAGCTATGAGCAGCCACCAGCAGCTATGGCCAAAGGAATGTCCAGTTGGGGTGCAGGTGGCTCCTGGGAAGAGAGGACATGGCAGCTGCGACCCCAGCGAGCCTTACACTCGAGTACAGAGAACATGACAGCCCATCCCCACCTGAGCAGCTGCAGCCCCTTCTATGGGGCACAAACATCTCAACAGCAAATGTGTGTACATATGTATGCACTCTTGTGTGTGTGAAATGCTTTCTAAAGTGAGTTTCAGAATCAGGTCCTAACTGAAAAGGTCTCCTGAAGCCAGGTGGGCTCCGGCTTCCTATAAAGGCTTCTGTGGGTCTTCTAATGGCAAACCTCAGGAACAGGGACCCAGTCACAGGAGCAGATGCTTGCACAATGCAAACCCTTAAGTGTGACGTCAGTGTCTCCTGAGATAAGAGCTTTAAGATTTTAAAGCTCTGTGAGTGTAAGAAAGGAAGATGGTGCAGGTGTGGTGGTACACACCTACAGTCTCAGCACTCTGGGACGCTGAGGTGGGAGGATGGCAAGTTTAAGCCCAGCCCGAGCAGTTCAAAGACTCACTTAGACCCTATCTCAAAAAATAGAAATTCAAAAGGGCTCAGGGTGTAGCTCAGTGCAGCACCTGGGGTTTAAGCTCCAGGAAAGAAGAAAAGAATGAAAGATAACAGAAAGCCAAGGAAGGGAAGGGGGAGGAAACACTGCAGCATTAAGAATAAATAGCCAGTGGGGATTTAGCTCAGCGGCATAAGCACCTGCCTTGCAAGCAGGTGGTTGTGAGTTCGATCCCCGGTACCGATTAAAAAAATAAAAAAAGGAATAAATAGCCCACCTCCGAGATGAGCAGTCCCTTCAGACCACAGCATGTGTACGCAACCTGCCAGGGTCATCACTGAAAGGACAGTGACTCAGGGTACATCACCTACACCCATGAATACCTTCACTGACCAGTAAACAGACACGGGCTTGCCGTGGTCTTCCAAATACTGACTGTGTTGGTTCAACCAACACGTCCTGGAAGATGAGTCTCCACTCAGAGTCTCTCCCACACCGGAGAGTAACACGGACACTGCCTACCACGCTCTGTCAGACCGTGCGCTTTAGAGTCCGGGGATGAAAAGCTTTAGTTAGCTAGCATCTGCGTGGTTTTGTTCCCGGCCTCCGGGACCAGGGATTTCACTTCGGGTCCCTCTTACAGAGGCAGCACCCAGCAGTTACAGAGACCTGATCCCAACTGAACCTGCTCCACACTACGAGGCTTCTCCATGTGAAGAAAGGATAAAGCAGCAAGCCTCTATTTATATACACACGTGTGGGACACTGTGCGCACTTCCACCAGCCAGTGGCGTATTATTAGCCAGTGGTAATAATAACAGGCTGCAATTCTAGAGGCCTCTGGTTGGGACATAAAAATAAACATTTTGTAATTTGGGAACAGAAAGAAATAAGCATAAAATTGATGCCTAGCATAGAAATCTTTCCCTATCTCTCCTGACTGTAATGTTTTTAAAAGGGTTTCCTTGGATTTAAACATTTTACTAAACAAAAGAATTTCAGGCCACGATCCATATGGGAAGCATGGCACGCATGGTCCACCTGCACCGGGAACAGGACCTGCCTGAGTGGATGGCCCACAGCGACACTACGTGAAATGAACTCCAGATTCTACGGAAGAAGGGAGGAGAGGAATTAACTGGCTGACATTAGTTGATATTTTAAAATTAAAGAACTATCTGCATTTAATAAATAAGAAAATAACTTAAAGTTCCAATGTATTTTGAATAATCACAGAAAAGCTATATTCTCTGAAGCACTTTAAAGATGAAAGACAGAAAAAAACATAATTTGCTTCAAAATCCAAGTGAGGTGGAGCTCCTCCCCATGACATTTCTTTGTTGAACAGACAGATCACTCTTTTCAAGGAACCTCTGATTTTTCTGCCCACCCTTCCGATCCCACCCCTGCTCCTTTCCTAACACCGCCTTTGTGACCTGATTCATGGAGCACAAAAGGGGAAACGGCCAAAGTGGGGACAGGCAGAACTGCCAAGCTTGCATATGTGACCAGGGACAGGAAATGTCAGGACCGCGGGCAGGAAAGTGAGACTGCTCGCTATGGGACTGGAGCCCGGGCGTGCCGTGCTGCCCGAGGAGCCGGGACCGGAGCTCTGCCGGCCCTTCCGGGGGAGCCTGACAGCTCTGCTCCTAACCAACGAGGTGACACAGAGCAAACTCCTCTTGAACCACCCACTGGTGCACTTTTCGACAAACTCGAGTTTCAGTGCCAGGAATAACCCCGACCCTCTACCTCAGAAGCTGTCAAGGGAAAACACTTCTTGTCGATGCGCTCTTCTTCCTCCTCGTCAGGCGGTGGCTTGGCTGGAGGTGGCGGACGTTCCCTCTGCAGAAGGAAAAATACACAAATATTCCATTACCTCCTTTCCAAGTATCTAACTTCTTGATTTACCCTTACCTTAGCCCTTGGAAAGGAAAAATAATGATGGAGAGGACTTCCCCAGAGACTAATGTGAACACTCAGAGGCCCTGTGCGTGCAGGACTCAGTCAGCAAACAGCACCAACACCCCGTGGTGCCCTAGACCCAGGGACCAGCCCAGCACCGGCAGCGCACGCCTGCCTTGTTGGGAAACGGCCTTCACGGCGTGACACACAAAACTTCACAGAAAGGCAAACTTGTGGCTCATTTTCAGATTCCGTTAATAAAAAGGGGTCTTCAGGTCAGAAGAAAGAACTTATAAATCAGTTCCAAAAGCAAGGTCATTGAAGTAAGGAGAAAAGTAAGCAAGGGCCCGACACTGGATCCTTTCAAACTGCATTTCATCTTCCTCCTTTTATTAGCAAAAGTGCAAAGCTGGTCTGTCAGCTGGGTGTGGTGGTGCCCACCAGCAGCCCCACCCACCCGGGAGGTGGAGGCGGGAGGATCACAGAAGGCCAGGGGTTCGAGGACAGCCCAGGCAACACAGCGAGTCATCTCCTTAACAACGAATACTACTTATCATCAACACATGAAAACCCGTGTCACCCAGCCTACTTTCAAAAGAACATCAGTCAGTCCTCCGCCCTGCAGCAAGCTTGTCAGCATGTGTATATGGTACTGGGAATTAAAGCTATGACCTTTACACTGAGCTACACCCCAGCCCGCTTGGTATCCTAAGCAAGTCTCTCGCTAAATTGCTGAGTTGCTTAGGCTATGCTCTATCTTGCCATGTTCCTGCCTCTGCCTCCCAGAGTGCTGGGATCACAGGTGTCTGTTACCATACCCAGCTGGCAGGCTCACTCTTACAGGGTCATACAGTAAATGTTTTAGGGTTTGTAGTCAACTTCGCCATCTGAGCACACACGAAGCCACAGAAAATAGGTAAATAAATGAGTGTGCTGTCTTCCAACAAGACTTTATTTATAAGCACTGGCAGTTGCAGGTGGGCTTTAATTTGCTCACCCCCACCCTACGGCAAGAAACTCACTGAAGAGGAGACAGTGGGCCGCTCAGCTGACTAAGTGGGCCGTTTCAGGGCTGCCCACAATGACCCTGGCAAGGAGACCGGAGGCTGACAGCTGAGGCAGGTTCACCACTGTACCTGTAGTGCCTCCTGCACCGTTTACATTCATTCCAAAGCCCAAGTCATGCTTCAGCCCTCACTCCCACGCAGGGGCTGGGGTGCCGCAGGAGCTGGCGCCTGCCTCGGCCTGCAGTTTAGTTCACCGTGCTGCCTAAACAAGAGCATTTCCAAAGCCAGGAGAGAGGAGAGTGCTGATGGACGCAAGGTCCCCACAGAAATCTGCAGAGATGGGTCTCTGACTTGGGAGCTACCTGCACTAGTGTTCTGCACCCATGACCTCTGCCGAGACATGCTCAGACTGTGCCTCCATAAATCAGTCATCCCCACAGCCCTGGAGCCAGGCGGATCCCCACCCAACGGCAATGGCTGCAGAAGAGCGTTGAGTGCTGGAGCAAACAAAGCCATCAGACCAGATTCCCACCACTGCGCACCCTCCTCTGCTCTTGAGTGCGGGAAAGAGCCTGCAACAGATGCCAGGCTGCGTCCATACTCCCTGAACCCCAACCTTGGTGCGGGCAGCCGAGAGCAGACAGAAGCACAGCAAGAACACAAAGCACCCATCCCAGGAGCTTTCCAAGGTCAAAAGGCCTAGAAAAAGTAACTTAAAAGGCTTCTGGGAAAGGTGTGACCACTGGTGTGGAGCAGAGGTTGGGGGGGGGGGGTACAGGACCATCGTGGACCTCCCATCCATCCAGACTGGCCCTTTGGCCACTGCTAATTACCACGGGCTAGGAAGCTAGAACAGGTACAATGCGCAGGAGCGGAAATGCCAAGGTGTGCGTCTCCACTCAGCCCACCTGGGCGGCTGGCTCCCTGGGGCGGGCACTGAGCTACTCCTCTGCATAGGACAGTCCTGCCAAGTCAGCGGGCTGGTGCTGCTGCTTGTCAGGGCTCCGGCGCCCCCTAACGGGCATGGCTGTAAGTACCACGTGACACAAGGCCCTCCACAGCTGAGTTTAATTCCCCTGTCCTCACAATGAAGGACGTAAAAAGGCCCAGCTGTACCCGCAGCAGAGCTGGGCACGCAGCGCTCAGAGTCTGCACTTCCTTTCACCCCGCACAAGGACTCTGTCACCGCCCTTGATAACAACCACCCGGATGGGAGGTGGCTGGCCCCAAGGCCAGCAGCTCTCCAGGATCCGAGAGGATAGGGGCTGTTTCAGGGCAGAGAAAAGGGCCTTCAGGTCAACCCCAGGCACTCCTGGAAGGAGCACCGATTACCCAGCAGCCAGAGGAGTGGCAAGATGACCCCACGCCAGATGCAGAGCAAAGGGAGTCTGCCCCATGGTGGGGCTGGCCCTGGAGTCCTGTCAGGCCATGGACAGCTTAGCCACGGCCCTGGCAAGGCCTGGCAGTGCAGAAAGGAGGGTCACAGAGCAGGACTCAGGCCTAACTAAGCGCAGAGCACAATCTGAGGGAAGAACAGCGAGGAGTCTTGAGAACCTGAAGCCAAGCCAGCACCAGACAAGAGCACGGAAACTGGAGGGCGGCCCTGAGAAAGAAAAGCACCATGTTGTCCCATCCCTCAGCTCAGTGGCCAAGACATCACAACTGAATAAATGAGCAACGCAGAAACGTAGTGAACACAACGTCTGGCGGAGCCCCTCCTAACCCGGCTGAGCACCGAACCTGCCCACATCCGGATGGAGGGACTGTGCACTCAGCGAGGACAGGACCCCTTTCACTGCGTGTTCCCGCCTCCAGAGAGGACACGAACAGCAAAGGCGCAAGACGGAGCAGCTCTGGGCTGAACAGAAACGATCTGAATTTGCTCTTGGCCAGCGCAGGAATGGAAGACGCAAGCTGGCTATCCTAAAATCGGAAAAATCAAAGTCCTGCCTCTGGTGACCTGTATATAGTTTTGTCACTCTGATTAAGAGAGGGACATGGCAGAGCCCCACGAGGAAGAGAGAGCGAAGAGACCCAGTCTCGCCAACATGGCCAGGCATTCAAAGCCACGGTCCCTCCTCCCACTGCAGCAGCAGCCAGCGTGGCCTCGGGGTCCCAGCCACGTACAGGCCTCACTCCAGCAGTCCTGATGCCCACCACCTCGGCCTCCTTGCTCGTGGACTCTCGGTCTGACGACCGCCCGCTGGCCGAGCTGTCCAGCGAGTGGCAGGAGACAGCATTGTACAGCGCCTCATAGGGTCCTTCCTCCTCAGCACTGGGGTCAAAGTCGATGATCAGCTCAGTCACGGCTTTCTCCACGTCACCTGAGGAAGCAGAGGGCAGGTAGGTCAGCTTCCCCGTCCAGGCCTCTCCAGCCACCGCACCTCCAGGGACCCAGACAGGGAAGGACAACTTCGCTGCAGGGCAGAAATAAACAATGCAGATTCAGCACTCTTGGTATCCTGAGATTTAAACAGATTTTTCCCTAACTCAGTAGGAAGGGGCGGGGCACAGTTCAGGGGTGTGGCTCCTGGGCTTAGCATGCATGCTGCCCTGGGTTTCATTCCCAGCAGGGCAAAGAAACCAAACCAAACAAAAACGAACAAACAAAAAAAGCTTTTGATCTCTTCCAAACCCCTTAAAAATCCCCAAATACCCCAAAAGCATGAGAGCATAAACTTAGCCCATAAAATATAACAAAATAGAACTGAAAAATTTATGGGACCGGCATGAAGGGCCTCCAAGTGCTCAAGGAGAGGGTGACAGGCTTCTTGCAAGGCAGACACTGAGCAGCCCTGGGAGTCACTTGCTAGACAGCAACCAACCTCAGGGCCTGTGGGATCCAAATCTGTGACTGCAACACGGTCAACTGTTAGGGAGGCTGGCCAGCTCGAGGTGGCCCATATGTAGTCAAAGCTACAAATATAACATCCTTGAAAGCTAAGCGTTTTAGGGTTTAATCCCATTACCAGCAGATTACAAGGTCAGGGAAGAAGGTGCAGGGCGGGAGGGGACATGAGGAACCCACAGTAGAGACCAGGTGGGCACCTGAACCCTCTGTCTCTGCAGACGCCTTCCTGTTGTAAGTTTCATTTTCAGCTCTGCTGTTTCTCTCATTTTATTTATTACAGTTTTGGTGGGGGGATCAGTTGGTATTTATTTTTGTCTCTGTCATTCATCATACCAAGGACCCCAAAGGCTGGTCAACAAATCTGAACGAAGATTCTAGCTAATGAGGGATGGGCTGGACAGCCTACGTCAGCATCCAGGCCACCTCCAGCAACCAGCAGACACACACAGTGCACGTTTCCTGGGGGTCGACTACACGCCAGGCACTGCTGCCCACGTGTGGGGAACAAGATAAAGGAGGCCGCGGGCAAAGGCCTAAGCTGTGGCCACGAAGACTTCATGTGGTAGTTGGAAAAGTAAACTGCATACAGACTCACTGAGAGCTCTCAAGCCCCGCTCATTACTATTAGAATTAGGATTTTCTACTCTGCCCAAGAATATCCAACTCTTTCCAAGCTGAGCACCCCATCCCTGGCAGGAAAGAGTCTCCTCACCCTGACACTTCTGTGCTACAGAGTCCACGCTGGAGAGGAGGGGTGGCTGGGCTGTGGAAGTTGTATCTGCATCTTTTGCACTTCTTTTTCCAGTCATGTGATCTGTATGGGAATATTAAAAATAAAAGAAAAAACCAACTGCACCAAATACCAATGCCTGGGCTCGGTTCACGTGACCGCAGCCTCCCGGGAGGCGAGGCAGGGCAGTACCTTCAATAAGCGCAGCGATCTGCTGGCTCTTCTGAGAAGGCAGCTCCCGCACAGTGTCGAGGGCAGTCAGTCCGTGGTTGTCTTTTATGTTGACGTCGATTCCTAGAAAGGCGCAGCGGGTGGACCAGGGGAGCGTTTTTATGCCAGACTAAAAGAAGGTCAGATTCCAGGATGCCTAAGACTCCCAAGCTGCAGTAGTTCCCACCCACAGCCATTTAATTCAGCTAGTTATAAACATTTCACGCGCTTATATTCAACCAGCAGAGACACACACACTGGGTTCAGATGCAGCCGCAAGCCCCTCCAGGGAGGCTAAGGCGAAACTGTCCATCCCGGGCATGCTGTGAGACGAGAGCACTGCCGACCTCTCACCTGCGGCCAGCAGGATTTGCACCACATCGGTCTTGCCAAACAAAGCAGCCTCATGCAAAGCACTGCCCATCTCCGTCTGGAAGGCAAACGAGAGCGCAGAGCAGCTGTCATCAGAACAGTTCGGCACGGCCCCACACGACACATGGACACGGACGGGAGGGATGGGGTGGTTAGCTGCACAGAGCCCTCTGCCATTCTCTTTCCGACTTTTCTGGTATGGATTCCAAAACCACAGTCTCGGGCACAGCTCAGGTCCTGTGTGTGCACCAGCAGGCCACATCTGTGCAACCATTAACCATCTATCAGGGACGCTCCCCAGGACTCCACCTTCCTGAGTCCAATGAATAATGAGAAGACAGAAACATCCGGCCAAGCTAGTCTGCGTGGGGAAGGCGAGCGGAGGAAAATGCCGTGCTGGGGAGACTCTGAAGGCGCCAATGGGACAGTGGGAACATATTGTTAGGAAGATAAAGAAACTTTTCGGATTTTGAGACAGCCCACTGGCACGTCTTTTCAGGGCTCAATGCTTTTATTTCACCCCTGAAAAGAAACCAGAAACTAACAGACTCACGGGGAGAACTCATCTGTCTCTGGAGTTTCACGTTAAAACACGCTGACAGATGGAAGCACCTGAGCCGCGACGTGGAACATGCTACAAAAGGACACAGCCCAGCAGCGTGGGACCAGAGCCCTCCCCAGAGAGACACGGCCCTGGCACTACCTGGTAGTTGCTATCCATGCCGGCATTGAGGAGGACCTGGACCACCGCCTTGTGGCCGTTGCGTGCCGCCAGGTGCAGAGGCGTGTGCTTCTTGGTGTTGCAGCTCAGGAGGTTGGGGTGGGCGTTCAGCAGCATCTTCACCACCTCCAGCCGCCCATAGAGCGCGGCCAGGTCCAGGGGGGTCTCAAACTTGTTGTTGCGCATGGTAGGGTCTGTGAGCTCCTCCAAGAGCACCTTTACCACCTCCGTGTGGCCGTACTGCGCGGCACAATGCAGGGCCGTCTCGTTGTCGTTGTTCTGAGGGGTCAACAAGCACAGGGATCAGAAAGGTGACTGGTGGCTGGCATCTGCCTAGGTAATCACACATAAAACCGCTGAAATTTAAATGAGAAGAATAGCAGCAATACTAGAGGACTAATCAAAGTCAGCATCCAGCTACTTCCCACAAACAAGCCTGCCTGCACCCATCAGTACAGCTCCCCTGGCGCCTGCAGAAGGGAAGCAGTCAGTCCCCCAAAACATCTGCAGTCTTGGGTGTGCTCCGAAGGTGACATCTCTGACTTTAAGGACCGTGAACAGGGGAATGTGGCAGGCACTGCAGATGCCCGGCACAGGAGAATTCCGATCATATCACTGCCATTGTTTCATTTTAACTTCATGGTTTTACAGTAATTTGTATTTGTTCAGCTCTGCAGTTCTGATTCTGGATGTGTCAGCCATTCATCGCCCTTCACACAAGGCTGTTGTCTTTGTAGCTTCTTGCATGCAAATCAATAAGCCAGCAGTGATAGTTACAGAGCAGAGCACCAAAATCACTCCCAAGGGATCAGCCAGCAGCCACTTCCAGCGGAGGAGGCACTGGGCCGAGTCTCGGGGCACAGGGGACCCTGCGCTGCAGTGCACCTAACCACCAGCCAAGGCAAGCAGCAGCCAACACACTGACCCAGCAGCAGCTCACAGGGGCATTTCTTCAGGAGAAAGACACGGGCAGTCATGGAGATGCTGGTGTGAGAGGTGCAAAATACTGGATTCCAACATCACACTGCTGTCAATTCATACTCACAGCCTGTGGTCCTCCAGTGCCAGCTCTATCTCAAACTGAACAGAGGCTGGAATGAACCTGGAGAACTCTGTGCTCCACAGATCATCAGAAGCAAAGTGCCCGTTATTCCAGTGGTGTCTTTTTACTATTATTGGTAACGTGGCAGAAATAAATCTCCATGACCTCTCTCTTTTGAGAAGCATGAAAAAAATAATTCTCCCACAGGACTCTGAGATTCCCAAATTGATTCAGGAGGCTTCCGTGACATTGGGAAAGTGAAGCTTAAGAGGAATTTGTCCTCTGAGTCAGTATTGTGCACCCTCAGTCACAATAAAGGTCAAAGGTAAAAATCAACTATTGCTACGACTACTTTAATTCTATTAATAACATTTAGAAGTGACAGATTAGGAGTTACCCAAACATGCATGCAATGCCATCTGCTTTTGAGCTGCACCTGACTGCATTTTTTCCAGCTGTATCAAGTGTACCAGAAATATCTGCAGTTGCTGGGAAGAGGGGCCCCAAAGGCCAGAGTGGCAGCAGAGAAAATGTGGGGATGAGGCACGGATAGCAAAGGTGGCAGCAGGAGAACACGCAAAGACAGAGCACACGGAGGACGCAGAGGGGGCAGCGCCAGCCCAGGCAGCCTGCATGGCTGTGGAGGCCACCAGCAGGGATGAACCACGCTGGCCCAGAGGCCCGGAGGAAGGAGAAACGCTGGGCAGAAACCGAGTGCCTAGGCTCCCTGCGTTTAATGGACCAGCTCAGCCGGAGCACCCAGGCAGAATGCCTGCTTCCTGAGCAGACTCCGCACTGTCGCTGTCCTTCTCGTGACAGCACAGCCACATCAGCATCACAGGAGCTCCATACAGAGCAACTTGCCCAGAGTGACAGCCCAGAGAAGCCTGACAGGATTCTTCAGCTTTTACAGCTGACGAACAGCAGGACACAAGGCCAAGGACACAGCTTGTTCCTGTTAAAATCCCACTCCGGAAAAACTTGTTTACTCTGAGCAAAGGGTACTGTGTCTTTCCTATCCAAATGGTCTCCCCACATCCAGAAGGATCTGTGTTTGATTCTGTAAGAAGGGCCCGACCTCACTCTGTTCTACCACAAAGACAGCTCCCACAAAGCTGCCTGCTAATGCTGTTTAAAATCTTGAGCATCACCAGCAAATTTCCTGCTGTACATTAAATGCTGCAACCACATCGCTGCGGGAAGTTACGTGTGAATTCACAGCGGAGGACATACCTTGGTAAGTTTCTGTCTCACTGGGCCTGTCCTGGCAATTACAGCCCTCCCGGGGTTATGGCTGTGGCGACCACATCTCTACCGCTGAAACAGCACCGCGATGCGCTCGTACTACGGTTTCCTCTTGGAGCTTGACAACTATCAACTACCAAGTCATTAAGCATTGATTCATGGACCCACAAGAAAGCGAGGGACTCCCACGGGAGGCAAAGACTGCTAATTATCTGGAATCCTTCCACCTCGCACCTCCACGTAATCCTGTGGGTGCTCACACCGTCTCGAGAGTTCACTGCATCAGCCATGCCTATAAGTCCAACTATCTGGGAAGCTGAGCCAGGATGGTCACGAGTTTGAGTCCAGTCTGGGCATCTTAGTAAGACTCTGTCTCAAAATAAAAAAATGAAAAAGCCTGGGGATGTAGCTCAGTGGCTGAACCCTTGCCTAGTGTATGCAGGAGTCCTGGGTTTAATCTCAGCACTGTAAAAAAAAAAAAAATTACTTCCTGGAATTACATTACTATGAATCTGGATTGGGGAAGGGAAGTTAGATGAAATATTTCATTTTCTTGCAAATCCTTGACACAACACTTTACTCCTATAACCATCTTGGGACTCTTTTTCTTTGCTACGGTCAGTAACTGAAGAAAAACAAGATCTCTATGAATACTCCCTACCTCTGAATATTCCAGTGAGAATCACACACGCACAGTACCAGCAACAGCAAAGTATATGCAGACATTTCCGTGGCCTGTCTCTTCTCAGAACTACTCAGGTCAGTACCATCGCTTTCCAGTGCTGCGATTACAGCGGAGGACAGTCACCCACTGCTGACAGCGCCCTGGGCCCCAGCTCCCTGCAGAGGCTCTAGAACAGACTGCACTGGAAGGGAAGGACAGGGACTCGCTGCGGCAGAGCGGACACAGGGAGCAGGAGCACTGAGCCCTCTTTCCACGAGCAGGTCAAGCTCATTCTGCACTTAATCTTCCTAATGGCGCTGCAAGGCTCTGTAGAGCAGAACTCTCGTCAGAGCATAGAAGGTTTAGGAAGACAGACGGCAACTGAACGTAAGAAATTGCAAAACTGGGGAAATCCAGAAAAGGCTGTCAATTAATTCTGTTCGCTACCAGAAAAAACAAATAAGCAAATAAATTAAAGGACAGGTGACCTCTCCAATGATAAAGGGGGTCATAATGCTGCTCTGCTAAAGGCACTTAAAACTTGGTGGTTCTCAGACTAGCTTCCTTTCAGAATTATACCCAAGCTTAAAAATAAGAGGGGCTGGGTATTTAGCTCAGCAGCATAAGCGCCTGCCTTGCAAGCAGGCAGTCGTGAGTTCGATCCCTAGCACCGATTAAAAAAAAAAAAAAAAACCAAACAAACAAACTGGCAGTTGGTCCAACCCAACTTGCCAAAGAGGTGCCCTCAAAGCTCGGATATTATTATTTAAAAGTTGCCCACGCCGAGAGTTCAAAATTAAGCAAAAAGTCATTATCGAGAATGAGATGAACTGACATTCCTCTTGTGTGACCTGATACACCGATACAGAAGGGACAGAACATCACTTCTGCAGCCTTCCTGCCTCACGTGCAGCACCAGGGGACGGCAGGCAAACTGAGGACCTGTTGGTGAAGCAGCTGGCCTGCGCTCTTAAAAACATAGGCTGAGGAACCACTGCATGCCGAGTGTGACCAGGGCGGAAAAAATGCTCTGAAGGATTTTACTGGACACCTGGCAAACGTGCACATGGATTCCATATTACACACCGATACTGCATCAATTCTGGATTTTCTGGACTGGGTAGGTTTATTGTGGTTTTATAAATGAATGTCCTTGTTCTCAGGAGATGGGGGTTGAAGAGCCAATTAACACTAAGTTGAAGTATTTAAGACTACGATGATGCCCTTGTCTTCATCTCTCTCCTTCACACACGTACACACACACACACACACAGAGCAAATGGGCCACAAGTTAACAATGGACAAGAAGACACAAGTATTTCCACACTGCAGTTCACTGCATTGTCCCTACACCTTTTTAAGTTGGCAATTTTTTCTTTTCTTTTTTTTTTTTTTTAATTTTTTTTTTTGTCTTTTTCGTTTTTATCGGTACCAGGGATCGAACTCACGACTGCCTGCTTGCAAGGCAGGTGCTTATGCCGCTGAGCTAAATCCCCAGCCCCTTAAGTTGGCAATTTTTTCAAGATACAATATAAAAAGCTTTATTCAAAGCATTCGGGACAGTTCTGATGAATCCAAAACTTAGGAGAGCTGGAGATAACTGATCTAAGGTCCTTCCTGCTCTGCAACTCTGAAGGAAAGATAAACCTACTCTAAAACAAACTTGACAGCTGTTCATTTTACGGTTTTTCAGACTGTTTTAAAAATTGTTTTCAAAGGAAGGAAATGACACCTTCTGAGGATGGCAGACACCTGGACTGCACGGTGCCGACTGTGAGACAGCAAAGGCCGAGGTGCCACAGAGGGGCAGCGAGGCTTGCGGGGAACACATCTCACCCCAGAGCGGTGGCAGAGAGGTCGGGGCCTGCCAGGAGTTGGCGTCCAGATGTAATGCAGCGAACGAACTCCTGGAGGCACATATGGGGTCAGTGAGACCCCACTGGGCCAGGACAAGGCTAGGTGGAGAGACGGAGGCAGCCCCAGTACCCTCCACACAACCCCTCAGTGTCATGTGTGTCCTTTGGCTTTGCAGGGTAGCAGGAGAAAGGTGAAAAGGTGGTATTTCTAAACAGAGAAGGATGTTCTTACTACCTTTACGCCAATCTGCTTTTATGTATGCAAAATCAGAGGCCGGAAAAACCTACTTTCAACAACCAAAGTGAAGAGCAGGGTATGGTGGGACACACCTGTAACCCCAGCACTCAGGAGGTCAGAGCAGGAGGAGCATCGTGAGTTCAAGGCAATCCTGGACTACATGGTGCGACCTTATCTCAAAAAACAAAACACCAAGGTCATATCCCTTAATCAAATCTCTATAACTAATGAAATCATTGACTAGGAAGACAACGGCCTCAAGTCCCTGCCCCACAACACCCTGACTAAACTAACAGATCAGTTTCATTAAGCATCACTGACTAGTAACAACAGATCCCAAAACAGCTTTTAAGAAACAAACTGCATAATATTTTAAAATTAGGATCGCAAGTATTATTGGTTACCAGATATTTTTACCTTATATAGTTTATTATTGTTAATTTTCAGCACTGGGGACCGAGGTACATCCGCAGCCCTTTTTGTCTTTTTTATCTTTTACTTTGAGACCGGGTCTTGCTAAGTTATTAAGATGGACTGGGCTTGAATGTAGGCTCTCCCTGCCTCCGCCTCCCAGGGGAATGGGATTTTAAGTGCACCACCACACCTGCCTCATCTGACCAAAACGCCAAGACAAAAGCCAGGCACAGTGGCGCGTGCATGCCCTCTAGCTAATGGAGACTGAGGCAGGAGCATAACAAACCCGAGTCCAGCCTGGGAAACTGGGACAGCCTGTCTCAAAAACTAAAGGCTGGGGTAGATGCCTGCCTAGCATGCAGCAGGCCCTGAATTCAATTCCTGGGACACAAAACCAAAACCAAAGCCTTCCAAAGCAACCCAGCACGGAAGTGGTGATATCCACTTTACAGAAGAGGGAACCAATTTCAGAGAAGTTAAAAAGCTTGTTCAAGTCAACAAATCCAAAACGTGGCCACCCGAAACGCAAACTCGGTCTGACAGGAAAGCCTACGTACAACCTGAGAGTTCTCCCCTCTCCTGCTCTACCCTCCCTCATCAAAAAAGGCAACTAAAAGACAGCGTCTTCCTAGCTGGCAACACAATTATAAGACAACACAGGGTTTAAAGAGTGTCAAATAGAGGCCACTGCTCCGCGACCCTAGGTCAACTGCTTCTCCACCACTAAGGCCACGCAGCCAAGCACATGTCCCCATGTCACCCCACGGAGGGAGGGGCTATTTGCTAAAGCAGTCTCCAAGAGAAGCATGAAATCTCTGCCTTATGTTCAGAAACCAGTTAGAAAGCAGCTAATGTAGACACTGTGGCATCTCAACCCCGCCTGGATTGCTGTTAAAAAGCAAACCTCACCTGAATGAAACCTCTGCACATGCAGACAGCGGGCGAAGGTGCTGAGCCGTGAGGCCAACTGAGCAGTGCAGGCCGTGAGGACGGTGCAGGCTGGTGGGGGTCACACCATGTCCACGGGGCCGCTGCCCAACTCCACCCTCACCCCGCCTGGCAAGCGCCCTGCTGGGTGCTGCGACCTCGCTTCCCACCTCAGAGCCCTCCGGGGGTGCAGAGTGAGGAGCAGAAAGAGGAGGGAAGCGGGGGTCCTGCTGCGGCTTCAGGCACCGTGTGAAAAAGCACGAAACCAGGAAACGAGAGGAGAGTGGCAAGCGACAGCGTGTGAAGGGACGCAGTGTGGCCACTGGTCTTCCCCGCGCCTCCCACAGGGCTACTGAAACCTGAAGGGAAGCCAGGCTCCACTTCAAAAGAAACCTGGGAAACAGACTAAAATAGCTTTTCTGATTCCAGGAAGTACCGTTTAACCATTCTTCTGTGATTATTTAAAAGTGAACCAATTTACTGGACCCTATTTTTCTTTTTAAAATTTCAGTGATCTTTAGAAATCCCAACAGTAAGTTAAGCATACGATGCTTGTTCTTCAATTTCTCCATTTCCACTGTTTCTGATGTTCCCAACTTTTCCAGATCCAGTATGGGTTTTTAAAAAAACCCCAACCCACTGCAGCTGCCTTCTCCCATTCTCAGACGAGCCAAAAGCAGATGGGCCGAAGTGGACAGCAGTGAGGGTGAGGAGGAGCCGGGGCAGCCGAGCACAGAAGCCAGAGAGGCCAGGCAGGGGCCGCAGCGCGAGGAGCGAGGCGGAGAGATCGTGGCCGCAGGTACACACCTTGGCATTGATATAAGGGTCAAAGGGGCCGTACTTTTTGAGTGCTTTGATCTCAAGAGCATTCTACAAAAAGGAGAGGAGAAGAAAATGTGATGATAAAATGGATGAAATATATCAAAGCAAACACAGCCCCGAGGGGGTGTAACGGGAGAACAACTCACATCTGCCCTCTGGGTGCCCTGTAAGGAAGCTAATGGGGAACACGACCTCCAGGGCACCTCACTCTACACCCCCATCTAAGGATCCAACAGGAACTGCATTAATGGTTTTTACATAAATCAATGTCATGCTTGTAACTGCCCAGATCCATTAGGTTCCTGGAGCTGCAGCAGACTCCTGCCTGGCCCCTGCCCCACCCACCAGCGCAGACTGCAGGCAGGGGGCAGCTGTGAGCAGGAAAGGCCAGCGCACTCGTGGCTCCAAGCGGCTGTGCTCCCAGGCGAGAGTGGGCAAAGACAGGGTCAGAGATGGGCGCTGGAAATGGCCTACAGGAAGACCGTAAGGGGTGACCAGAGCTTTCAATACTGAAGACTCCTGTTAGGGGAAGCCGCCTTGGGCGTCTCCTCCAGAGCAGAGGCGCTGCCACCTTAGTCAGGAGCATTTGCATTTAGCCTCAAAAGAGGCCATTTTCATTCCACATGTCACTGATGACTGTAAGTGTCTGTCACTGCCTACCCAGAAAATAGAGCCCCAATGGGGGAAGGTGAGCTGGTCAACAGCTGCACACAGCCGAGCTCCCAATCGAGCTGTCTGAGAGCTCCAATTTTCTCAGGCCTCAGAGAGCAGCCACCTCTCAGAATCAAGGCCACGCTTTTCATGGAACCCCTCACTGGGCCTGGCACAGGTATGCTGACAGATGGGTCCGCCAGGATGAGCTCCTGCCTTGGGAGGGCACCCCTCGAGCTAATCCTACAGGTAATTTAACAATCTCCCCTCACTGAAGCTGTGAGGAAAACTGTTCTAAGCTTCCTAAGAGCAGCAGCTCCCTCGTCCAAGCAGCAAGAGAAGCACCTGCTGTGGCTCAGAGCTGGTGGACATGGAAGACAGTGGGTCACCGAGCACAGCACCAGCTCCTCACCGCCGATCCCCGCCCCAGGGAGGACAGGAGCGCGCCTTGGCTCACACTGGCATAATTTAAGTGGCACTTCCCCAAGGGGACACGGGGAAAGCAGAAGTATATGCCAAGACCGCTTAGACCCAGGGCCACTGTAATGTCTCCTATTTCTTTTTTAATGTTGCCTCACTTATTGTTCAAGAATTATCTCTGCTTTCGCAAAGTACGCAGTCACTGAAATTAACATCCAGGGCATCCTGGAAATGACCCTCCCACTGGATCACCTCTGAGCTGCATTCACCCCTTTCCCATTTCTGAATTCATTTTTCAGCAGTAACATGAGTATTTCCACTTCTGCACCTTCAGAGGTACACAAAATAACGGGATGCTCATGCAGGAATGACAAACACCGGGACAGCTGCACTGCCATGCCTGTAGCATAAGCACAACTTCCGAAGAATGAGCCCGCCATCTGAAGCTGACTCCGACTCCTGAAGGATTTGCGTATGTCGGATTCTGCATGCAGAGTGAACATTATGCACTGCATTACAACAGTAATTATACCACTACTCCAAACTGCATGAGACAAATGCACAGATGATGCCTCTTCACACACAGGATCTCCCTGCCACACGGGGCTGAGCAGGAGTGCAGACAAGGGAGCACACTGGCTAAGGGACAGCAGGCTCCCCAGGACCCGTGCACTGGGAGTGGCATGAGGATGGGTGGCCTGGGCCGGGTAGAGCTGCGTACGGCTGAACGGAGGAGGGAGAAAGGCTTCCCGGCTTCCGACCTGTTCGTTGACTCTGGTGTGTGAGGGCCCCTGGTGGATGAGCAGGCGCACTATCTGAGCGTCTCCTTTCCAGGCTGCCAAGTGCAGCGGGTAGCAGCCTTTAGAATCAGCCACGTTGGTCAGCGCGTCATTCCGCAGGAGAACCTCAACCACATCCCTGGAAGGCAAAGATCAATCGTGAGGGTGCGGAAACCAGAATCCTCCTTACACCTGCACAGCCTGTCACGGACAGGCTCTCGGCGGGCTGCCTTCCTGCCCTGAGCTCACGCTGGCCTCACCTCTATTCCATGAGCTACCTGTGCGGTGCCAAGGGGCCAAACCATCCTGAGCTGTATTGCACTGCTCATTACCTCTGCTACGGGGCAGTATTTCCACATTTGCAGTGTTTAGATGGCAGTCAGGGACAGAATTTACATGGGACAGTTAAACATGACAAATGTCACTGTTTACTTCGTTATTCAGATTGTGTAGGGGTGTGGGAGACAAGAGCAGACAGGGAAAGCAGAATTCAAAGATGTTGCAAACGTAAGCCAGACACACGCGGTATCATTTGATAGCTCCAGAAAGAGGGACTTGGCTTTCTTCTTGGTGACACCATTAATTAAGCAGACACTAGTGTTCAATTATCCCCATGCACATGAGGCAAAAACAATCCTCCCTGTAAATAAAAACAGTGTGGGAGATGAACTTGGCTATGGCCCTTTGAGTTCAAGATTCAGTCTAACCCAGGTTACCCTGCTACTTAAGGAGGGGTAGTCTCGATAGATTTCTAGATCTCAGTGATCACACTCAATATATTTTAGAAAATTTAATGTTGCAGGCAACAATTGTAGTCTCTCTTTGGAGTCAATGCAGCTGGATCAAATATTGGACAAGTAATGTGGGACTGCTCCTTGCTCTGAAAACCTAAAATGCGGGGGTTGCAGGAACAGCTCAGAAGTAGGGTGTGTGTGTGTGTGTGTGGCATGTGTAAAGTCCCAGGTTCAATCCCTAGGACCAGTGAAAAAAGAAAAATCTATAGTGACCACAAACTCTTTCCTCATGAAAACATTTCTTTTGGGGGGTCTTTTTGAGACACATTTTGCTATATAGTTCAGGCTGGCCTTGAATTTACTTTGTCATCTAGGCTGGCCTTGAACTGGCAAACCTCCTGCCTCACCCCCCCCCCGAGTGCTCAGGTACAGGTGTGCACCATCATGCCTGGTCTGAAAATGAAACTTCTACTGCTCATGCCGGTTAATATTTCACTTCAAACTACCCTGAACAACCTCTCTTCTGCTGCACTCTGGGTGCCATTCTTTGCGCTGGGGAGGCCTGCTCAGGTGACACAGCGGCCCTGCCCTGCTGGGCACCACGAACCCTCCCTTGAGGGCGGAGCGGAGGCTGCTAAGCCTGCCCTCCCCTCTCGGACGCCCCTGCAGCAGCCTCCTCCAGAAGACCTTCTGCCCGAGGCCTCCCAGTTCCATACTTAGGAGGAACAAACAGGCCACGTCCGTAGTTACCTGTGCCTTTTCCCTTCCGAGTGGCTGTCACTGGCTGATGTTACAGGAAAGAGTGGCAACAGGCAAGGAAGCAGAGTCAGTAAGCCACGACCCCAGCAAGGCCCGCCTGTCCAGCGGTCAGCCCATTTTCAGCTCATCAGGGGGTTAATCACAGGATTCCAGCCCTAAACTGGATCTTCGTTCTTTTACCATGAGTGACAATGGAATATTGCATCACAGAAAAGGACCAGGAGGAGGAGAAGGTAAAATTCAACCTCTGTCTAAAGGTTGCTGGGGGTTGAGGGAGCAGAAAAGGATGTTTAAACCATACACGAAAGACAAACACGGGTCCTGCACGGACTGAATCTAGTTTTTCTCTTCCTCAGGGCCATGCTTAGCCCACCCTTACAGGCAGCAAAGGGACACCCCAGGGTGTGGGTGTGCGCTGAGGGCGGGCAGGGGCAAAGCGCGCTACTCACTTGTGGCCGTTCAGAGCGGCGTGGTGCAGCGGTGTGTAGCCAGTGCTGTCAACGCAGTTCACGTTTGGCCCTCTCCACATGCTACCAGGGGAAAAAGAGAGACAAGTAGCACAGGCTGAAGTCAGGGACAGGTAGGGGAGGGCTGCCCCTGCCGAGACGGAACCCACAGGAGGCTTCTAAGGAACAGCTCCTAAGGACGGCCGGCAGGTGCACAGCCACGCCACGCCACAGAGGTGCACAGGCAGGAGGGCGGGCCACAGACCAGACCACTGTGTCCCTGGGGAGGGCCCGCTCGGGCTGCAACTTCTCTGTTGGCTCAGTGTGCTTCTCACACCTCAGCACGCCCCCTGCTCACGGAAAGGGCATCAACAATCGCCCTCAGATACAGGGACTCAGCAGCCACCCTCTGCTGGGGCGGATAGCTGGAGAGAGACACCTCAGCACCGACCACATGACCAAGGGGGGCCAGTGTAACACCAGGACACCAGTGAGCAGTGTGTCCTTCCTGTGTAGACACAGCCAGCCCTCCACAACTGTGAGTTGCAACTCAAGACTCAACTAACTGCAGACCTAAACACAGCAGGACAAGCCTCTGCACAGCATTTACATTGTGCCGGGTTTTAGAAGTAAGGTGGAGACAGACGTCATCACACATAGGACAGCGGTAACACCCACAGGACAATGTGTGTAGATAACACCCGAATACACCACTGTATACAAGAACTGGGCAGGGGGCCTTCACTGCCTGCGGAGCAGCCCCTCCAGGGTCCTGGGGCACGAGCGCCTGGGCTCGGGCATCAGCCAGCGGGACAATCCGAGAGCTGACTTGATTAGAAGTCCATGGACTAGCAGTGTCACTTTAACTATCAACGCCTTCATTCTTATCCCTGTTTCCTACCTCACTGCACTGGTCAGAGCTTCTAAAATGTTAAGCAGCAGATGACAACCTTGTGTTTCAAAAAAGAAGACTTCCGATGGTTTATGGCATACACTCTGCAAAGCACTGACAAATCATTATTCCCTTGTTTTTTATTTTGTATTTGATTGACTGACTGATGGTAGTGCTAGAGACTGAAGCTGGAGCCTCACACATGCTGGGAAACGACACTGACACTGGGCTTCACCCCAGACCTTCTTTTTAAAGCACTTTAGAGATATGTAGTTATTTAATTTAAATGCATTTTCTGAATCACTGGAGCTAATCACTGTTTCTCACATTTAACGACCTAAATATGTTATCAGTAGGTTTCTTAATGGTTTCTTTTACTTGGCTGCTATCACAGTCCTGATGAAATCTACTTGAGAACATCTCAGAATTAAGGACTGTGGACTCTTACGTCCACATTTGTAAGTGAGGCTGGCTTAGTTTTTGCTACTATTACTGGCGAGTATCAGTGTCAGGTTTGGGTGACAGATCAGCTGGGCGGCTGTCTCATTGCTACATTCAGGAATCACTGATACAAAGCACTGAATTACACAGAATCGTCAGTAAGACCATCCCAGCCCAGAGCTGTTAATAAGCTCAGCTGCCGGAGGCAGCGCCATTTACATCAGGAACATTTGTGAAAACGCAGAAGTAAAGAGTTATTATAACTACCACACAGACAGAGAACAGCTTATGCCAACTGTACGGCTCTGAAATGAGAAATTATAATAAATACTAAAGAGAAAAAAAGAATCGAATTTACCAATACTATAAAATTGTAACTCAGAATCTATGAGAGAAATTTATCAGAATAGTACAAGGATACAAGGATGCTCCCTCTCCTGCTTAAAGTGTTATGAAGTGACAGGAAAAATACTGTATCCTACTCTACCCTGAGAGACATGCAGATACGTTAATTTGGCCCAAAAAATAAGAAATAATGTCATGAAAGAATTGGCAGTGCTTGGACATTCTTTAAGAGGCAGAAAGCAGACAAGTTTAGATCACACAAATTATAATAATCAAATATGACTTTGCACCCATCAGACGAATCAAGTAAAAATAACATCATTACCAAGTGTTTGAAAACAAGCACTGTTAAAACACCACTGCTATGGGTTTAAACTGGTGGCTTCCTTTGGGAAGACAATTTGGCAGCATCTATCGAAACCAAAAATAGAATTTACTTTGCGCCAGCAGTTCCGCTTGCAGGCAGCCGTCCAACAGAAACATTCGTACGTGTGCTCACGGGAGCACGCTTGCCTAGGGCTGCTCTGCTGGAAGAGTACAGCACTGAAACCTTGATGTCACTCAAGGTGAGGCAGACCCTTAAAATGAAATAACTATATAACCACTGACAGCAACCACGAAGAAGTGGTAACCGTATGTCCTGACTTTGTTACAGTTACAGTTTGGTGAAAAACAGAAGTCACTGTTCAACAAACAAGGTATGAGCCCCTCTGCATAAAAACACTTGCACACACACACCCTGGGCAAGGATGGGGTCGCCGGTGAAAACTGTCAGTGGCTTCTCTGGGGAAGGAAATCCGTGTGCTGGGGGCACCGCAGAATGGGGAGCAAAGTCTGCCATGTTCTGCTCTGTGTTCTACTACATGGTTTAGGACACTTGCAATGTGACAGTGTTCATGTTGTGCTTTTTTATTTATTTATTTTTGGTATTCTGAGATGGGGTTTTGCTGTGTATTTCAGGCTGGCCTGGAATTTGTGGTAACCCTCCTGCCTCCGCTAACCAAGTACTGAGACTATAGGCCTGTATCACCACCAGGTTTGGCTACTTTTACACTAAATTTAAAGGGGGAAAAGGAAGAGAAAATATGCCCAAGGAAAAAAATGCATCAAGATGATAAACAGCTAAACAGAAATGATAGGTCATTTTAATAAGCATGTAAATGTTCAGCTTAAAATCATTCTGTGGTGTGTTTTTGTGTTTTATTTTTTGTACCAGGGATTGAACTCAAGAACTTGCACTTGGGGGCTGGGGGTTTAGCTCAGCGGCATAAGCACCTGCCTTGCAAGCAGGCGGTCGTGAGTTCGATCCCCGGTACCGATAAAAATGAAAAAAGACCAAAAAAAAAAAAAAAAAAAAAAGAACTTGCACTTGCTAGGTAGGTACTTATGCTGCTGAGCTAAATCCCTGTTCATCCCCCCCCCCCCAGCTTTTTTAAAAAAAATTTTTAGCGGGTACTGGGAATCAAACTCAGGACCTTGTGCTTGCCTGGCAGGCACTGTGCTGCTGAGCTAAATCCCCAGTCCTAGGCTTAAAACCTTAAGCGGGATTCTGCAAAGGAAACAATCAATAGCAAAGAGATAATCTATAGAATAGGAGAAAATATTTGCAAGCCGTATATGACAAGAGGCCAACACCTAAAATATATAAGAAACTCAATGGCAATAAAACAACCCAAGTTAGAAGTGAGTAGCGGGCGTGGTGGCCCATACTATAATCTCAGCACCTGGAGGCTGAGGCAGGAGGGTTGCCTTGAGTTCAAGGACAACCTGAACTACAGAGCAAGAATCTATTTCTAAAAACAGAAAGGAAGAAAGAAAAAACTCATGCATACATGCACGCACAGACCCTGAAAAAGAAAGGTAACTGGCCAACAGGGATATAAAAATATGCTCAACATTGCTATCATCAGGGAAACGCCAATCAGAAACACAGTGTGGCCAGGCATGTGGCCAGTGTGGCTCACGGCTGTACTCCCAGCACTCAGGAGGCTGAGGCAGGAGGATCATTACAAGTTTGAGACCACGCTGGGCTATACAAAGTAAGCTCAAGGCCAGCCTGAATTGCACAGTGAGACCCTGTCTCAAAAAGACAAAAAAAAAAAAAAAAAAGGAAAGAAAAAAATCACACTATACTAGCACTTCACACCTGTCAGAATGACCATTACCAAAGACACACAGGAAAAGGAAAGACACCATGAGGGTGTAGCAAAGAGAAGCCACGTGTGCAGCTGGCAGGAATGAACGAGCACCACACGGTCCTCAAGTGCGGCGCTCTTCAAAGGCCGAGGACGGCACCCACCCTGCAGCAGCCCGCGCCCGAGGAGGCGCTCAGAGGAACAGGGCTGCTGTGCTGCACCCGCCTTCCCCTCCACGCTACTCACCGCAGCCAAGGCAGAGAACCCACAAGCCGTCAGCAATTCACAGGCGAATAAAGAAAGTCGGGTCGCCAGTCTAAAGAGAAGGGAACCCCGTTGCATGTGACAACACGGGTGAATCTAGAGGACACAGACACGGACGGCAACGTATACCCTCGCTTCCACGTAGACTCCAGACAAGAGGAACCTGGAGTGCAGCACAGAACAGTGGCTGCCAGGGGCTGGGAGTGACGAGGGGCAAGAGGAGAGCTGGCTGGAGGACGCAAAGTCTGCGTCCGACGCGAGGAACAAGATGCAAGTGCTCACCGTGGCGGTAACCAGTAGCAGCGCGCTGTACTTCTGAACAATCACTAGAAAGTAGGCTTTAAACATTACCAGCACGGAACAAGGCCATATGCGGTATGCATACGTTCACCAGCTGGTACATTCCCCGCTGTGTACGCTGCACACGGCACACTCAAGCTGCACTTGCATTTAAAAACTAAACCATGTTCCAAACAAAGAGTTACAAGTCATTACTTGTTGTCACACCTGTACAACCACCTCATCTTCAAAACCAAACACTATGCCTGACAACGAATTGGAATATGGAAAGTTGGTCAGGCCAAAAAAATCTAAGAGATGCAGTTCCGTGGTTAGTTTTCAATTGTCACACAAGACAATCATTGTACTATCATAAAATAGGTGACATTAAATATCCAAAAACTACTTGCCCCCAGTCACAAAGCAAATCTGTGGCAGATCTAAAAGTGCCACTTACACAGCTCTCGGCATTTGGACAAAGAAAGGCTTTCGGCCTAACTGGAATGACCACGTGAACTGAAGACACATTGATACATGGCTTTACACAGTCAGATAAGCCAGGTGACCGGGACAGCCAAGCGGAGCCAAGACAGGGGGAAGATCAACGCCAGGTAAAGCAGCTGAGGTGCGGCCCCCCAGCAACACAGGGCTCATGAGGCCTCCGCTCTCTCCCCCACTGGGGACACTGCGGTCCCAAAGTCACCTTGGAAGTTCCGTTCCACTGTCCC